GGAACGCCAATTTGTTGTTCTCCTCAGTTTCCATTGTGAATTGGATGTCGGGAAACACGTTGTTCAGCAGTTCCTTCGCTCGTAGTAGTTCATTTTTCTTTACAACAGCGAATATGTCATCCATATTTTCGGTTTGATATCTGGTAGTATGATTCACTCCAGTTTCTGCATTGTAATTTCCGCAATGAGTCCAGAGATTGGTGACCCCATTGACGCTCCTTTGATCTGTTCGTAATATTCTCCATTGAACTCAAATTAGGTTGTCAAGCACAGGTCTAGTAGTTCACATATTTCTTCTTTTCCGAGCGTTCAGTGGTTTTTCACACCGAAATTTGACGGGCTCTTTTGGGGGATTCTTTGGAATCACTATTTCATTACTTTTGCGTAAAGGCAGTCATGCTCGTGTGATGGTGGAAAACGAGTCATTGACTGCTGTAAGATCCCGATTTTACATGAGCTCTTATGAGCGATTTCAGACTGGGAATAGTTTCCGTCTATCGATGGTATAGGATAGGCAGCCAGAGGAAAACCCCCGGAGCGATTTCAGTGGCTACGCAGTTAGTATCAGTTAGTATCAGAACCTGATAGCGTTACAACCAGAAAGTTTATTGGAAGGAGCTTGCAACCACCAGAGAAATCCGCACGCTTTTATGCTCCTCAATATCCTAGCTGAAAATACTGACGGTTAACTACCATGAAGACACGAATGAAAAAAAGTTCAGTTAAATGGAATAAAGAAAAAGGAGAGCACAATGCAAAAATCTTTATGCTTTGGTGGAAAATGATCAAGAACAAGGAACCTAGATATTTAAGTCGCAAACAAGTGTTGTACCTGAGCACTGAATCGGGTATCAACCCAACGCAAGCACAGAGCACGACAATAGACAACCTTATCTGTTCTGGCGAGGAAGTTACAGCAGGCTCAGCAGTGTAATCTGTTGGTTTCTCTATCATATTTGGTTCCTAACCAGAGGCAGAATGAATCACATTAAACAGGAGGAGCAGAAGATCCCACTGACTCCAAATAGAAATATCTAGCTCTCAGTAACAGACCTCTAGTCCTACAACCGATTAGGTTTTCGGAGTACGCGTAAACAAATAAACAGACCACAAGTGATGAGTCATAGAGAGACGACTTGTCTTTGAGATTCGTTCTGAGTATTCGCGAAATGCGCGGTGAAAGCTTCAGGCCGGTAGCATATGCCGTTCTTCTGAATAATGGTTTTACCCAATCCGTAATGTATTCTGAAGCCGTATGTAGACTGGCCTTTTGAAAACAACAAGCCGTTTCTCCGTCGCTGCTAGGGATGGGTTTTCTGTTCTCAGGCTTTTCCCATAGTAGAGAGTTCCTCACTAAATGAGCCCTACTTTCTGACCCTTTTCGCTAGGCAACAAACGGTGTTCCGTTCATACGAAATATCAACCAAGTTATAGAGGTTTATGCATTTTTCGGTTCATGTAGCACCAGTTTTCTTCTCGACAACCAAGTCCATAAAATGAAAGGCGTTTGCCCATTGTTGACGCGCAGTAAACGGGACCAAACTGGAGTCAGTAGAAGGCCACTCTTAAAGACGGAAATTGCCCCAAAAAAACGATGAATGCTCCTGAGCTAAAGTTTCCAGGCCACTGAGTCAACTCTGTACACGCAAGAGCGACTGACACAATCAACCCAGTTTAACTAGTTATCGCTGGACCAGCTTTAAACAAACGCCGCTTTGGTACTTGGCCATCAATGACTCAGCTATCTGCTCACTTTATACACATCTCTACATTCTGTTTCTGTTTATATTTGTCCATCAGTTTTCAGTTGTATCAACAAAACCATAAAATCAACCCTAACAGCCTGTTTCGGAAAAAAACCTCGACTGAAGTCATGCCGTAATCCTATTTCCGCCAAATCGATATCGCTGCTGAATGATCCTACGTAATCACCCAGTACAGGTGAGCAGAATTCAACCCTTAACTGTGACAAATGAACGATGCCGAAATTCGGCCTACAACCATGATCGGTGAACTGACATTGGACAGTGTTTACCGCCAACAGGGTGACTTCAAAAGCTAGAACAGACTGTGGAAAAATTACGCTGGGCGGTTAAAAATAATGAAATAAATTATCTCATTCGGGAGTGTGTGAAATTAATCATTCATAAAGCTGCGCATCCAGGTTATCGCTATGAGTTTGACTACTCCGCTCGTCCCTCACACAACTCTTTCCAACCTCATGCATTACCGACTAACCGCTGTATCAAGGGTTAATTTTTGTTCACTTAGTGAGCTCCAGGATTTACGCGATACCCGTCCACGAAGCGGTATTCACAAAAGCAAACACACTCTGTTTTGTCTACCTTCCCGAGTTAGCTGATAATTCCTTCTGTGGTCACGATGAAACAAACCTCAGATGCTAAGGTTCGCTTTAGTCCATACCTATAACCTTGGTAGTAAGGACAAGATAATACTAACTGGATTGCACGCCTTGGGCTCAAGTTTGTCACATTCCTGGTTCGGCAAAGTACTGTTTTCTTAGCTTACAACTACCTGCCTCGCTCTAAGCTCGTTTGAAATTTTAACTAGTCACCTTGGTGAGGTGATAAGACTGGATTCCTCTGCCCTATGTGTGCTTACTTCCAGCACCAAATTGGTATACCTAGACATATTCGGCGTTCCCTAGAAAATTTGTAGTTTTAATTTCACTCCGGGATAAGAAATTCTGAGTGCCAAGCTTATTGTAATTGTACGGTTCACAGGGATTACGAAGATAAGGGAGTGTGAGTTCTTCTTGTGAGCCAATTCATCTGGGTTGAAACTCATAGCATACTAAACATCATAAGCGAGAGATTCAATTGAGTCTCCCGAGAAAACCAAATGGATTTGCAAGTGAGTGTATTTGTTGCGATCAGTCCAATTTGGGTTCAAGTAGAATATAGGGTTGACGGGAACATGGGAGCTGCGCCTACCTGGTGAGCCTTAAGAAGGGCGAGACCGGTCGTGGGCTGTCGAGGAGTTTTCAGCAACCTTGTGAGTAGTTTCCTTTATGAAAATCCGCCTTTCATTACCTCATATTTATCCCAGTGTTCTTAGTAAAATGGCCTTAGTAAAATGGCCTTTTTCTGCGCAGTTGAACTGGGCATCGATTGAGGCGTAAATTAACCACCTTAATAGTGGAAGACAGACGTTTCACACTTAAGTTTAATAAATATAATCTGTACACTCAGAAAGTGCTCTTGCAAAAGTTGGTTGTTACATGTGCTGCTCACCCGACGGTTGCCAGCTTGGGCCAATCGATCATGACATAAACAGCAAACTCTTCGCTATCCTCATTCTACTTACATGAACCCCTCGATTTAGTTTCGCAACCTCCATTTGTATTGACCAGGAACAGAGGTCGAGAAAAGACTAATATTTATCAACTCATGTTTTACAATGAAGGACAGTTAAAAAGGGCTTATCGATCTGTTTTGATCATTGGATTTAGCAGTCGCTTATTTTCTCAGATAACCTAACTTCTGGTGACTACTCAAAAGAGAATTCACTCTTTCAGTAAAACCAATCTGAGCTGAAAATCCAAGAAGCACTGTACAGCTATTTCATCCTTTTGTGCATATCTCAAAAAATTTAGATGGTTTTGAACCCTGTAAAACCAACTGAGCTGAAAATCCAAAAAACACTGTACAGCTATTTCATCCTTTTGTGCATATCTCAAAAAATTTAGATGGTTTTGAACCCTCATTCTTCCGACCAGTGGTTGAACACCTTACCGTTTGGCGACGAGTTACTGATCAGCAGCGTGATTAGCCTTCACTTAGACAGGACATATTTGGTTAGTAGTCAGACTGCTTCATTAGAATAGCCATAAGCACACATAAAGCACATGTTACAACATGAACTTGCGATTTACCGGACTTTTATTAGCCCCAGCTGATCGACAGAAGACCATTCAAGCAGGGATCTTTGTCCTTCAAGGGGGTCAACGGTTCACAAGTTTTCTCCTACGTATTGTGACAGAAAACGTGATACAGCGAGCGTACTCTCCGCTTCTATAGACGTCACCACAGGTTTTTGTTCAGTTTTATTGCAACGATTCAAAACCCAATATTATTCTACACTAGTTTGGTGAATCCTGTGAGTGAAGCTAATCTGTACTGAAGAGACCAGAGGAACTTTACAGGTTTCACCTTTGTTGGGAACGATTTGCCGTGCGAAAAAAAATCATGAGTGGTTAGGAATAATACCTGGGTGCTTTTGAGCAGTCGACCTTCCGGGAAACGTTCAAGAAGACTTCTGATTCCTGTTCAACATGCCCATAAACATAGTTACCGAACTAGTAGCATTGTGATAAGCGGTGATGACCATAAGAACACGTTACCGACGCTTCTACATTCACCTGGTGAGTTCTAAGCATGACAAAACACCCAGAGAAGAAACGCTTTTACAAGAATGGACGCATCACTCACTTCCAATCATTTGAATTCGGTTACCTCGAGCGTTTTTTTCGTATAAGAGTGATTCACTTTTGTGGCCTCCGGAAATAGGATCAAAGCGAAAACAAAATGTCGTGACCTGGATGAATATTGCTGTCCAAATTTGGCGGAAACAGTTTGATTACATTAACAACCATTACATTTTAACCGGTATAATAATACTAAACTCATCAAAAAAAACTTTTATCGCATATCCGGGCAATACCTTATGGGGATAAGCCTCAGTTCCTGCAGAGTTCGCTCTTTGAACCAAATAAAAGTTTATCAAGAAAAACATCTTGCAGCGAAATGATTATCGAGTTTGAGAATAACAGTTTGGCACTGCAGCCTTAAAAACGGAAGAAAGCCCTTTCTTCTAATCCGGAGTTAAGGAAGAACTATTGTAAACTCATTAAAAGAAACGCAGCTATATTGGACACCTACCGATTTAAATCTAATCTTCCGGTAGCAAGTTTATGCAATCAAATAAGAAAAACAACGTTTTTACTCATTGCTTCAGGCTGTCGGCGTGATAGTGAAAACTTACTCAAGATAGACCAATGCAATGAAGTTTGTCATGTTTATCTTATCTGATTATCAGGTTGGTCACGAAGTACCCAACACGCAATAGGGAACACGCAAAGCGCTGCTCAAGTCCGTGTGGGAATCACGAATGATCGGCGTATGTTTTCAGCAAGTTTTCAACACGCAGCTTCCACACGACAGCTTTCGCACCAAACGTTGTGACGTTCGCTGAAAACTGTAAAAAACGCACTTCAGAAATCTGCCCAGTTGGCCAAGGCTTTGTTTAGATCGTCAAACGTCCGTATGAACATTCCGATAGTGTGTTAAGATTTAAAACACTATCCAGCTGTGTATTTTTCAATGGTCGTGGCACTGAAGTTTTGTTTTTGTTCTTCATCCAATACGTATCTTTGAATGCTTGGAGCACATCAAGGCAGGTGGGATATGTTTCCCACCATCAATTCAACTCAGATTACTTTGTAGCCTGTCGCTACGAGGTATATTTGCAGTTCTCTGGTTTGTTATCCTTGTAGACGGATCACCAATCCGTTTGAAAGCGCGATCGGCATTGTCGGACATCAGGGTCCCAATATTCTGACCCTCCGTGCTGATAGGCCCAGCTTTAGGGCATGATCGCATCGCACTCATTTGTACTGTGCAACTAATAGCACTCCTCAAATTGAAACATTCAATCAGATGCGACAGTGTGGCATAATGATGACGTGAAAACAGGATCCTTATGTATAACAGTGCATAAGCAGGGTTCGGCAAACACGTGATCAAAAGGATTATCTAAGGGCTATAAACAAGAGAGAAACAAAAGACGGGTTGATAGATGTTCGGATAAAACACTCAGTGATTCAACTCAGTGGTTGCCCACAGTTTCTATGTATGCGAGCTCACTTTCTCCAAAGCTGTTCAGTGAACCGGTACATACAACTCTTATGCTCGGTGATGTTGGTGGCGACATCGCCTTTTGCTAGCGTTTCTAGCTACCAGCTAGAATAATGCATGTGGGTAAAATGGGTTAGAACGGTCAATAAAAGTACACACTGAATCCAACTTTCGGGAGCATAATTTGTCTGTCCTGAGGAGCTAGAGGCGGGCATTCATGCGGCATACATCAATCCGGTTCTATGTAGACGCCAGTTCTGATAATCCGTATGCACTTTTTTATGGATAATTTATGCGCAATTAATTATTGACAAAGTGAGCAGCTAAAAGGTGAAATCCTTTCACATATGAATTTACGTTCTCAGTAAGGGTAAAACAGGAGTGCCGCCGAGTTCTAATCTAATAGTCAAGTAAAAAAATGCTTTGCCCTTATTCCCGGCGTCCAAAAAATCGGAAAACATAGGATTAGACGCCATTAACTAGGCCAAATTGTGGACAACTGTAGTTTCGTCAACACTGAGTAAAAAATGTGAGATAAAGATGCCACAACAACGGCGATAGTTGACTTGTTTATAAATTTGATGGAACGATCAGTTATTTTTTTTCTTATTAGCAAACAGCTTGACAAATCAAAAGTGTTCCTTTTTCAACCATCTTGCTTTCTAGAAATCTCTTTGTAAGCTGGGAAATATTATCTTACTTCCTGAAGTTGTGCTTCGGGGTCGACAAGTCCGCATTGGTTTACAATGCCCGTTACAGTGAACAAGCACAAGCTTGCCCCACTCACTTAGTCGCTCCGTAAAGTTCAAGGGGAACCAAGTTCGGCACGCTGCAACTACTTGCCTTTTCGGACGGACACTGGCACTGGTTGATCAGCGTTCACTTCATAATCTCAAAGCTGTTGCTGTAGCAAGTGCACAACTTCTGCAACTTAGTCCCGAATGCGTGCTGTCTTTTGTCCCAGCATCCGCAGTCGTTTCTGCCGGACATATCGGCGGGGAAACAGAATACCGATCACCATCGCTAGCGTCATAACTGTCCAGAATACCGCTACGCACGTCTACGAGAGTACCAATCGGCCGCGACCGTACCCACGGTAATTCCACCTGAACCCTGCGAACCAGTTCCACCTCGCTATTGACAAATGAGCCTTGTTCACATTGGTCAACCTACTGTGCTCATTCGCCACCCATGAATGGTATTCAGGAAGTTTCCTAATTAGTTCATCCATCAGAGCATTATTGCACCAAGTGTCTCTACAGTCCAGTTTGCTTGATACGGGGAGGGAAGGGGGCAAAATAAGCCATTAGCAAGTCTTATTAAGCTAACCTTTTGGAAAGGAGATGCTTCTCATTGGATAATTCCTGTTCTATTTTGGGAAGTATTGGCTAGTTTGTGGGTAACAGTCGGTGGAAATTTTTAGCGGCGTGGGCATCACTTCGACACAGAGGGTTAGTGACAGTTAGGATGTTGTCCGTTGGTGGCCTACCCTATTCCCATGAAATAAAAGTGACCACGTCAAATGAAACCATCAGTGGGCCGAAACAACTGGACTGTTGCATGAAGGCCGATTAAAGGGGATGCTGAATTAACCGGAAATGACTGAATCGTATTTTTCTCAAGACACTTAAAAATACACGCAACTCAGCATTCGCATTTGTTCACAAGTGTGGTTAGTGGTGGAGTGGTGGGCAAAAGGCACGTGTCCCATCCTGTACTATCCTCCTGCTGAGTTCCAGTTAGGAATAGGTGTGTCGTGGGTTGTTTTTCGGACCAGTCACACCTTGCACCCATGAATTTTCGTTCTGTCAATTTTACACTATCTCTCAGAAACCGTATGATGGTGTTATAAGGAGATTTGACCATTTTCAACTGAGATTTGCCCTTCAATTGAAGCTGAAAAGCACAGGTGTTTTTTCCTTACTGGGAATCACCAGTAGTGCATATGTCAAGAAACTCTGGGGAATACCAAAACCCATACATTCAGGCTAGTGCTTTGAACACTTAATCGTTCGGCCACGAGTGGCTGAATAACAGTTCGATTTGCTCCCTCCATCCATTCCGTTTTTTTTTCGATATTTCGATGAGAAAAACTTGACAATCCGTCTTGCGAGCTTACATTTCAAATCCAGCTGAACTGAAAGTCATCATTTACTTTGCTACCTTCCAACTTACCTCATCATCCTCAGATGTTCGTCGCTTCAGCTAATCGGTAATTCACTTAGATCCTTTAGTCATTTGGTGCTGAACGAGCCTAATTACGCTGGGACGCTTCCCTAACAAAAGGTACCTTATCTTATACTCTTGGTTGATAAACCAATTCGTCGCCATCTCGTTAGAGAGCTTACTTGTTGCACAAGCTCAAAATAACAGCTGAAAAATTGAATGCAATTTACTGTCTCCTCAGGATCGTTTACTCATATCCCGGTTTGATTGTAACAGACTGGAGATTCGGTGCCCATATCCTGACCGAAGTTTGTCATTAATTGCTGCTTATGATACGGGTATTTAATAAGCCCTCATAAATCGGTGTTTCATGGAGTAATGAGCCGTTTTCAATTATATTTCATCCTACCAGAACCTCTCAAACTATAACTGCACATATGTCTTTTCCAGTGGTGAACAAAGACGACGTTCGTGACGTGTCCAAGTATAATCATTTGGGGGTCCATTGACCACCGCACCAAACTGTGTGTCGATCGGTCTCTCTCAACGGGTGAAAAGCTTCACTCAGTTATTTCTAGGCAGACTTTTGAGCCACAAACAACGGAGAAAATAAAGAGCCTATGGCTTACCAACCGTCAGATTCTCCGTGAGTATATGTGACAACATATGACAGATGGGAAATTACCTAGAATACTGGATTCGATTAATTCCCGTGAGCAACCAATAAATTTGTATGTGAGGGTGCTCGTCCGACTTTTTCCGGTTCGTTGTTTAAGTTGGTTGGCAGCAACTCAGGGACTGCACTTATCTGATGACCCTGAAGTAGGGTGAAACTATATTTTTGTAATGCACTACTCATAACGTTGCTGAAAAATCCTCGACAGCCCGCGACCGGTTCCGCCCTTCTTGGGGCTCATCAGGTAAGCGCAGTCCCCGAGTTTCCGTCAACCTTATGTTCTACTTGAAACCAAATAGTTCAAAATTAGCGAACTTACACTCATTTGCAAACTAATTTGGTTTTTCGAGAGACTTACATGGAACGCAGCTGAATCCCTCGGTTTTGATGTCTCCAGGCAGCTGAATTTGCTGCACCAGGCTGTTTCATGTTTCAGTCACTACGATATTCGAGATATCGCGACAGATATATTTTTGGAACTGATCATTGGCAGTCCAAAAGTTCACAGCGAAACTATGAATAGTTTTCCTTTGAGGAAATTTACTTCGTTGTCCCACCAAATGTAATATGAGGCGACCACTGTGAACCACATTCAGCTGAAGAATAGCATAAACAAGAGATGCAGCTGAGATTCCGTCTAGTCCAGCGAATGTATCCCATAGTCTGGTGTAGGTTTGCCACTTGAGCTGCTCCCCTTTGTTTGGAACGTCATCTTAATTGCCCTCGATCACATGATCGGGATGGCTAGCTCAACGTCAGAGAAACATGAGTTTTCGAGGTTCCATGGACGGTTTTAACTCTACACGTCATCCAATTACAGAGGTACTAGTTACTTTGGAAAAAAGCGTGGTCTTCCTACCAGTAATGTCAGTAGCGATCTCGTTTCAAACTGTCGCGTCTAAACTCACTGAAATAGTACTAATTGGAGAGTTCTGGTTCTCTGGCATCTTCGCAGCTTAGAAAATTTGATCTCCACACTACTCAAATGATATAAGTAACACGCAAAAAACTCCCCATTCACCTCCATGGACATACTACAGGGAGTCACGTAAAATACGGCACTTGCCAGATTTCGTGATAAGTGGTTTTCCATTTCCCATACGGGTCTTTATACGCACTGCTGCTGTGAATTAGTGACTGGTTCACTTCCGGAAAGTTACAACCTCGAACGGATCTTGGTGAGCTGAGCAGTGCTGGTGACTTCCTAACATCTTTTATTTACAGACATTCGCCATTCGCTCTTCTCCGTTGAGCTGCATCCTAGATTGTAATTACCTTTATGGTTGAAAAAGCGGGTTTGCGCTGTACCGTTTTCGATATGGGCGAACTTTGTTCTTCTGGGTGAAATTCAAGAGTACCTTGGGAGTATCGGTGTTATTTGTCAAATTTGTTCACAAAATCCCCGGTAAACTGCACAGGAAAATAAAGGGAAAGGTCGTTTTTCCAGATTTTGGGCACACCCGTGAAATAAAGATAATTCAAAGGGTGAAATTTCATTAGGGAAAACTTAACAATTATTTAGGACATTTTTAAATTAATTACTTTGCTTGGCCGTTAAAAACATAATTTTTAGAACTACTTGCTTTCCGGAATTCCTCGCCGAAATCAGCTCAAACAGTGTTAAAAGGATTGAGCGCCATGAGGTGTATAATATGCTTTTTTCAATTATAAGGCCAATACGCAGGCATAATGGAATAGTCTGTTGTTATCCGACGCTTTGTTAGTGATCCTTGAGAAAGGTCGCTCACGGCAACTGAAACGTCGCATTACAACAACCTATTCAACTATGTTGTGTTCCGAGTTCATAATTTAAAAGACTCCAAATTGTTTTTTTCGCGAGGAACTTGGTCACAATTTGCTGGAATCCCTTCAAAAGCCCTCACCGGTTTTTCTCTTTTTGGGTTATCTTTTCTATCCTTCAGCTATCAGGGCAACTTTTCCCTTTTCCTCTATCAATAAGACTAAACAGAACGTGAATCATGGGTTATGATCGGAATTCTAGGATTTCCCTGTTTTGTCCATCTACAACACTGAGCACGCGTATCCATTGTCATCAAAAATGCGAGCCTCACGAACGACAGGGAGTGTAAAAGTAGATTGGTTGATCCCTACGAACTGGAACTCGGCGCCATTTCAGTACGCGCTGCACCTGCTGTTTGACCACAGTCACCTTGATAAAATTTCGGATTCGACCACTAAGGGCAGGATAATATGCGACTAATAATCAGCATGCTCGCACACACGATGATGACCGTCAGCCCGCTTTTCACCAACATGGAATTAAGTTTTATAAGTGTTGCCTTCCTGTACTACCGGCTGTAAAACTTTTGGGAGTTCAATTAGATCCAGTGGAGCTGTATCCTTTCTGAGAGCCCTTGGAAGATATTCCAATGAGGAGTAATATGTGCCAACGTTATGGGATACCCCAGCGAGGTAGACGAATCCATCTGTACTAAACTGGGAGAGGTGCACTCGGGTCAGTTATAATGAGTGAGCAGCACTCGACAATGACACAATCCATATCCATATTAGAAAACCAGCTCCGGACGTAACGAGACTACACAGCTACCAATGGAATAACCGCTTTTCTTTGAGACAGATTCCACTGGTTGTTCTTTACTCGCCCTTGACAGATGAGTTGTATTCTTAGTATCACTTTTTGACCACTTGTACGCAACAGTAATCAACGGAGCCCCTTAGCCGCACAATGCTCTCAGTTCCAAAATACCTACGTATGGAGCAACACTTATTGCGCCAGAGTATTGCGTTTTGTTGCGTATGTGCTCAAACCGAAAACCGTTTAAATCCATTTCCATGTTTTTGCAGCTCATAAATTTCACTGTTTACTGGAGCAATCATATCTCTGGCGGAATAATTTTCCTGCATCGCTGAGACCCACAGATGCCTAAATGGGGCTCAAAGGTTTGGACTGGTACTCTTAACTCAATCGCCCGATTGCTTTAATCCATTAGGTGAACATCATGGCTATCAAAAATTCAATTCCATTGTGTGAATACTGAGCGACGTGATCAATGGGGTGGACTTTTTCTGATTTCGTCGAGCGCATTATGCGACCAGGCATCTATCCAGACCAGGGTTGACCGTAAAAAGAAGGCATTATGTGACTGTGGTCCACAACAATCCACAACGTCTCAGTAACACAGCTTTTGCAAAGCACCTTCGGTAAGGTAAAAAAAAGAGTATCGGAACCCTTGCACTCTATGTTTTTCACAATGTAGTGAAGGTCATTGCAAAATTTTATCGATCGGTGCTCAAACCAATCGATATCCAGTAGTCAAACATTTTAGATGATCAGCAAGTAATTCAGTGTTATGCTTTTGTTGTTGTTGGGACGAATTATGCCCTTCGTTGTATGTCTGTTCCTTTCTTTTTACTTCAGCATCGATCATTCTGGTGAATGATATGTGATGAATCTAATTTAGTTGATCTGTGTTGGAATGAAAACTTCTTTCTATGGTCCATGCTTGCCAGAACATAATGGGGACTGGATCTGTCAGAAATGAAATTTGCCAGTTGCATTCTACTGCAGCTCACTCAAATGGTCTGATGTTACTTTATGTACAAGGTAACAAGGCATTGTCTGGAAAACAAATGAAATGGAACATCGAAGTGAACAAAACATCATCAATTGGCACTTGCGTCGTAGAAATATTTCATAGTCGACTTTCACAACATAGGCGTTTAATTAAATGATATATTTTGTGCTAAGAAATTTTACTTGGATATGATCACAGGCTTAGGAGTCCTTAGTTTAGATGAGAAAGATCCGGTAGGTTGAATGGTTAGTTCGTTACCTAGGTTTTGATCTTTCTTGGAGATAATCGGATGAAAGGACTTTATACTAGTCCTTGTAGAGGCCATCGTATGGCTGAATTTCTGTGACCGATCCGTGTCCACGATTTTTTATATCTGGCCTGTTGTTTAGAAAGCAAATTCCCTTAGCCACTTACGTTTGAATCTTTGCGCAGCAAATTTAAAATAAATCAGCCTTTATCTCCCGCTGTAAAAACCGAGCCATCAGTGAACATTTGTTTTACCTCAGAGTGCATAGTCATTCTACAATTAAGCTGTAAACTAACTGAAGCACTCAGAGACAAGGAACCTAAATCGATCTACAAAGTTAGTCGGCCAGCTGAACCACCTCCTCGTGGGGCCGAGCGGGTAGCTTGGACGTCAGTTTGAGTGAGCTAAGAGTCCAGCAACTCCGGATAGTGCTAACCACCCTGTTTGGTTTTAATGCGCTGGTTACTTCCGACAATGTTCGCTACGATTCATCCGGCGCCTCTCAAACAGTTACAACCAGTACACAGGAGAAACTTGTGGGTTTTACGTGTGAAGAATGTGGCCAGTGCTGCAAATCAAAAGCTGGCATGGTAGCCCACCATCGAGTTCACGAAAAGGAAAGTGTTGGTACGAACATGGTCGCCAGATCGGCTTGTGCTGATTGTTCCCGTGTTTTTCCGACGAAGACTGGCCTGAGTCAACATCGATGGCACGCACATTCTGCATAGCGTAATGCAGATAAGTTTGACCGAGTGAACTATTCCGGTGCCGTCTGGTCTCAACAAGAGTCACAATCGCTCTTGCGCCCGGTTAACAATTTATANTGTAGCTGTTGCGAGACTGAAGCAGTATTTTTCTGGTCGACCGGCTACGAACATCAAAAGCAGTGTACGGTTGCTTAACTGCCAAGCACAACTGGACGAATCATCATCTGGTGAACCTGAGCAAACTATCGGTCAGACGACGGTCTACTCATCAGAAGCCGATGACTACAGCGTCTGGTTTAAACAAACCGCGGATTGCACCGTGTCACTCTTGGAATCCAATGCTGACCGTTCGCTCCATAGTGTGGACCTTCTGGCATTTGCGCGAGGGTTGCAGTCTGGCATCATGACACCCGAGCAAGTCCTGTCGCCTCCGGACCTCCAAGCCCCTAGGACATTTCCATACACTTGGAAAGCTGTAT